AAATCAAAGCCGGTCTACTTAGGATAATAACCAATAGCCTAAGGCTCGAAGCTGAATGCCTTCCAACCATCAACGAGAACGAGACTCTCCAAATCAACATCGAGTCAACTGAAGAGGAGGCAATGGCCGTCTCGCTCATCGATATAGACAAGTGTAACCGCCTAGTTGGCGGACAAGTCTTTGTAAGCGGACCTGACACTGAATACTCTATCACCAAAGTCAAGGCTGGCTCTTCAGACTTCAGTGACAAGGGAAACAACTACAAGAATAAAACATACAGTAAGTTATCAAGCATACATCTTAAATCCAGCAAGATACCTGCCGATGTATTATATACCGTTCCCGAAGCTTCGGTAACACTTGGCTGTTCCGGACGTTTCTTTTCAGCGCATCCATCGCTGGACAGAGACGCATTCCCATATTATTCACCTGTCCTGCTCAAGTAAACCGCTTTAGCTTCTTGTTTTCACCACATTGATATCCTATCGAGTGCCCTCCTTCATGTTTGGAATATATATCTCAGACTTTTGTCTTTGACTGAGTCGTAGTTCACGATAGCCTCATACAACTGAATTCAGTCAACATGTCCGGAGGCCGAACGAGCCTCTTCGGCCAAGTCTACATCAACGCCGATAAATCATATCGCTCTTATTCTATTCTACATAAACCGACTTGACCTTTTCGATGATCAGGGGATACACCCACTGGTATCACTCGATCAACACAAGCCAGTTTACCTAAAATCATCCCAAGGTAATAGTCACTTCCTCAAAGATAAAGGTAAAATATGTGTAACATGTTCACATATAATCAAAAGGCTATGAAGTATAATCATAAAATTATCATGTCCCTTCGGGTTGCTTTTCTAAAATACATTTAAACTCCTAATTTAACCCCAAGTACCGCCACCACCACCACCTCTTCCGCCCTTCCTCTGGGCACTTAGCCTCCAATCATCTTCAGTAGCAAATTTATTATATAGAGGCTGGATTCTCTCGGCCTTCTTCCTCTTGCTCAGCTTGTCCGTAGGTGCGACCTTGAAGAAAGTCGGTGCGGCCTCCACGAGCCATTTTGGCTCGATACTCGTTGTGCAGTGCATGTATTCCTTACTCGTCAGAACGAGCTCGTGGTAGATAACCCACTCGGCCTGCTTTCCGAAGAGTGCTGAGCTAGGGTGCAGATAGACGGGAGTTCCTTCGATGAGAGTCTTGTACCCCTCTTGGGGATCCTTGCGAGCTGCGTTGCGGAAAAAGCCTGCACAAAGTGCGCGGCGGACCTTCTCTGTGGCGCGGCCACAGGACTTGATGGAGTGCTTATAGCGGTCCATGATTTTAACGATTTGATCACGGACATCCTTAGCCCTACGCATCGACCGTGCTTGGATGAAATTCTCAAAACACCAAGGGGAAGAATAACCGCTCTGTTTCCACGAGTTGTAAACGTTTAGGAACGTAAGGTGATCGCCGTGAGGGTCATGAAATTTGGCCTTCTTTTGGTCTGCCTGAGACTGCTTTTCCTTAGGTCGATAGAAGACGCTCGGAATGTTGAGCATAGAGACGATGCTAAGTACTTCTTCGGCACAATCAAGGTCGACGGCGGCAATGAGCACCTTCGCAAGGGAGGGCTCCATCGGGAAATCGGCCATCTTCCTCCCTAATCGAGTAAGCAGACCTTCATCATCGAGGGCACTGAGGGCATAAAGCTCCTCTAACGCAGTAAGCATGGTGTTGATAGGAGGTGGGTCCATGAAGTCGAAGTGCAGTAGGTCATTAATGCCCATAGCCTTGAGCATGAGAATCGTGGTGGACAGGTTCTGTCGTTGAATTTCAGGAATTGTGGTTGGTAACATTTCAGACTGATAAGCCGCCTCGGTGTACAAACGGAAGCATTTTCCAGGACCAGTTCGACCAGCTCGGCCGGCTCGCTGGTTCGCTTGGGCCTGTGAAATAGGGGTGACAACCAGTGAGTCCATGCCCAGCTTGGGATCGTAGGCGTTTTGCTTCACAAAGCCGGGATCCACGACGTAGTAGATCTCGTCAATGGTGATAGAAGTCTCGGCAATGTTGGTTGCAATGACGACCTTTCGGCTTCCAGCAGGTGCGGGATCAAAAATTCGACTCTGCATTTCTGTAGGAAGCGATGCGTAGACGGGAAGAATGATCAGATCCGGCACATTAGGCCCTAAAGCTTTCATTCTTTCGAATAACACTTCACAAGCCGTGTCGATTTCTTCTTGGCCAGTCAAGAAAAGAAGGATATCGCCCTTGGGCTCGGTGAGGTGGATTTGCATGACGGTGACGAGTGCCGTATCCAGGTAATCAGATTCAGGCTCCCTAGAGTAAAGCACTTCGACAGGGAATGTTCGACCGGGGATAGTAAAGATGGGACATTCGTTGAAGTATGCAGAGAACTTGTCGGCGTCGAGTGTCGCGGATGTGACAATGACCTTCATGTCAGGACGTCGCTTGAGGGCCTTCTTGAGTAAGGCGAAAAGGACATCAGTGGCGATGGTACGCTCGTGGGCCTCGTCAAGCATAATACAGGAGTATCGCGACATATCTGGATCGACCAGAATCTCACGCTGAAGCATACCATCGGTCATGTATTTGATCTTTGTTGACGGACTGGTGCAATCTTCGAAACGGATGGTGTATCCAACCTCTTCACCAAGCTTGCAACCAACTTCTTCGGCGACTCGCTTTGCGACTGACATGGCGGCTACACGACGAGGTTGTGTGCAGCCAATGATGCCGTCGTTAGCGAAGCCAGCTTCCGCAAGATATTGGGTCAATTGCGTTGTCTTTCCGGATCCTGTTTCTCCGACCACGATCAAGATCTGATTCTCGTGGACGGCTTTGATAAGCTGGCTTCGGAATACATAAACGGGCAGTGACTCTCGCTGTTCCTTGATGCTCAGGTTCGTGCGCTTGCCCAAGGACTGGCCCTTGGGGATCACGGCCTTCTTCCATTCGGGTACGTCTTCGGACGGTTGGTTCTTTCTTGCGTTCCTTAGGTCACTAGCAAACTTCCTCTTGTCGGGGTCGGCCATGGGATCTTGCCATTGTGACGATAGGTTCTCCTTTGGTTCTTCCTTAGCAGCCGCATCGGCTTCCTGCTGCTTGAGCTCTTTTCGTTCCTTGGCCAAGGCAGTACCTGACATGGCAGCTCGGTTCATAGAGCCGTCCGGTGCCTTGACTACTCGAATGGGTGACAGTTCGAGAGACTGTTTGGTCTGTCCTGCCAAGAATGGCGGTTCCTCCTCCCGAACCTCAATGTCGACGTCCTCCTCCAATTCCAGCTCGCCGTCGCCTCGCAAAGTAGCATTGTAGTCTTCCTCCAGGTCGGGGTAGTCGGAAGCCTTAGCCACACCTGATGCAATCAACTGTCGAATCTCCCACCTCTCCGGGGAAGTCATTCGCTTCTTTTGTCGTCGTGGGGGTCCCAGGTTATCTCGGGGTGCGCCAATTGGGTCTGCAAATCCATCTCTCGGGCCTCCTCCCAATGCTTCCATGTTTGCGCCGGTAGTCATGCGCACTTGTGGCTCTAGGTCTTGTCCACTCTCCTGATCAACATCCTTCATTGACAAACCCACTCGATCGCGACCGCTCTGGTCCTTGTCGAGGCTTGTGACTTTGACCCAAACCTGTTGGCCCCGGTTGACCAAGTCAGAAGGGTGATTGACGCGCTGCCCTGCAGACATACGGGAGACATGGACAAGACCATCCACCTTGCCTCTCACATTGTGCAAGTTGACAAACGCGCCAAAATCTTTGAGTCCCGTGACGTGACCTTCATACACCTTATGCAGCTGCGGTGTATCATCCATCTCGGGCGCCGGTGCGTTGCGAAATCGGTCATCGTCGCCGTCTTCGTCATATCGTCGGCGACCTCGACGGTCTTTGCGCGGATCACGGTGGCCATCGCGCCAGTCTTCGTCGCCTCTGTCTTGCGATCTTGATCTCGACCGGTATTTGTCTCGCTTTCGGCGTTCCCTTGAACGTGATCGATCCCTCCTCCTTCTTCTCGATTCTTTGTAGTCGGTGTCAGGGCTTCGGCTCCGTTTTCTTGTTGACTTCTTTGCCTTTGGTTCTAGGCCCTCCAAAAGGGCGAGGGTATCGTCGATCGCATCTGCTCCATTGTCGCGCGCGGGTTCTTTGTCGGGTAGCGCAAGGCCGCTAAAGACCTTCTCCTTCTCTTCAAATGTCCGTGTGTGGTGCTCTTCAACGTGCTCTTTCTTGCCTTTGAATTTCGGGTGCAGGGCGAGGACGAGGCGATCGATACTTTCAACGAGACTGGGTGGAAGGCCTGGAGCAATGTCATTACGAAATTCGTCAACACTGTCGGCTCGTTTGGCGATCAAGAACTCGGCAAGAGTCTTGTTTTCTACGCCCAAATGGTTCTGTATCTCTGATGTGACCTTTGACACGAGAGACAACAGCTCGAGGTTCAGCAGATCATCCATCGCGGCTATGTCGTCGGCACGATGAAATGCGACAGCGGCGAAGTTTGGGAAAGTAGGAGACAGGAAATGTTCGAGAGTGATGAGTCAGCAAGTCAAGTCGCGACTGGTGCTGGTAGCGGCCTTGCTTTCGCATAGAATTAAAAAGAAGTTTCGGCTGTAGAAATACATGATATTAAAGTGAACTTTTTTATTTCACCTATCTTAGAGAAACCTAAGATTTCACAAAGTTTGGTAATTTTTCCATGTCTGTTAAACAATTTTTTAAGAGAGACAATTCAGCACATGATTAAGCAAAACCTCATACAGATTACACCACGCGTTATATCAAAACTTCGACATACAAGCTAAAACAATACGTCAAAGTCGAAAACGGCACGCGCTACAACAAATATAAGTTCAAAAAGTCAAACCCGATGTTTAGATAAAGCCACGAACTTCAAACACGTCAACTTCACTCCGAGCTACAGGGTAGCAGAAAAAAGAGTGAACTAGCAAAGGTCAAAAAGTGTGGATAATGGTGGATTCTAACCACCTGAGTTGGACGAACAGGGAATCGAACCCTGGACCACTCCCAGAAGGCGAAGATCTTTCAGAAGAAACTTGCTAAGGGAGTATTATACCACTAAACCATTCGCCCGATGAATGTGTGATTCGATGTGACAACAATCAGCGGAAGCTGAATCAAGAGGGGGCAGCACGACTCAGTCGTCTTGGCTCTGATATTCATGAATTGTATCCTTGGTACAAGAGGTTTTGAGTACTAGAGTTTGATATGAGCCGATAGCAAGCAAGTAAACTCACGAGGCAGCGACTTATGCATCTGACTTCACGCGTATTTTCGAGTATCAGACGGCCTTTCCGCTTCTGCCTGGCCTTGTTTGGTTGAGGTCATGTAAGTGAGGTGACGTATGTTGAAGTGTGGCGCATTCGATAGAAGCTGTACTGATCCTTCTTAGTTCTCCATTAAACGCATACAATAGGATTCGAAGATGGAAGCCTAACGATAGTTGCTCTGACTGCACCCGAAGAACTGATTCTCTGATATTGTTGAGGGTTCTCGGGCTGCCTCCAACCGTTAAATTGAGTGATGACCCGAGTCTGTGGCTGTCGGCGGGGTTCCAGTGACTGACGTCTCAATTGACAGCCAATCACACGTCTTGAAATCCCTGCCTCGCAACTCTTACGCAAGCCCCTCCCCCAGGAACGCCACCTCCAGGTGACTGACCTCAGGCTCTGTCTCGCATGGCGAGATACGTACCTGAGCCATCGATGCAGCGTCATCGTCAGCCCGGTCACACGCCCTCTTCTTCTTCCCACCAAAAGCAACGACAACATAGAAAGACCCTCAATTCCTTCTACCTAGAGAATAACAAGTGCTCTATCCTTTGGGATTCTATACCTCAGAGTTTCGACGCTCTCTATATACAACAATGTGCTCCGCCGACTTCTTCCTCGCTTTTCTTGCGATTCTCTTCCCCCCACTGCCCGGTAAGTTCACCATCACCAATTCCCCTCGTCGCGCATCGCTAACTCTGAAATTCAGTCTGGGTCAAGTGCGGTATCTGCAGCGCCGACTCCCTCATTAACATCCTCCTCTGCTGTCTCGCCTACATTCCCGGTCTTCTTCACGCCTGGTACATCATAGCCAAGTATCCCGAGCCGCCGTACGAGTATGAGGCTCTGCCCCAAGATCGCGAGGGCAACCGCGTCACATACGTCTACGTTCAGTGCCCGCCAGGCCACCAGCACCAGCACGGCCACCCTCAGAACCAGCAGCCCAAGCCCCAGCCCCAGCCTCATCATGGCGGCTCCAACAAGAACAAGAACAACAACTTGAACTACGGCACCCAGAACGCTGGTAGCTCTTCTCGACCTGCGCCTCAGCAACAGAACGCTACAGATAACGGCGAGGGTGGCTCCGATAACCAGGGAGTTCCCCCATCCTACGCCGACGTTGTCGCTGGAGATCACAAGATCCAGTCCAAGGACTAAGCACTTGATCGAACGGTTCACGAGATATGGAAATAATGCCCAGCGGGCGGATTTGAAATTCGTCTGGGTCGCCACTCGAGCGACTTGACTCAATTTTGCGCAGCCGCCCTCAACAACAAGCGGGTCTTTCACTAAGGGTCGTGGGTGAGATGGCCGAGTTGGTTATGGCGCCAGGTTAAGGTTAACCTTAACACCAATTTCCTGGTGGAGCAATCCTCCTGGGTTCGAGTCCCAGTCTCATCACAACATTTATTTTTTTTGCTTTTTTTCACACTGACTTCTTCTTGCTGCGGCTTTGAATGGTTGGGACCGATGGGACGTTGTTAAATTATGGTTGTGTGTGCGAATTGTGGGCACTATGGTGTTATAATGCGAAACCGAGGGTTTTCCTCGCCATATATATGTCATTAGGAGTTTCAGAACATGGACTTCTTTCGTTCAGGGGCTCTTGTCATGATTAGTCGGCGTTGGATTAATTCTTAGTTGCACCTGGCTTGGTAGGGTTTAGACTTAGTTCCTAGGTTTAGAAACCCCAAAATGATGATCATTTTAATCTAGGTATTTGCCTATCGCTTTGATCTATCGTGGGAGTTTAGGTTCCATAATTCCCCTTAAACTCCCTATGGCAAATATCAGTTCTCCTTTTAGTTTTCCTTCTCAGCAACGCCGTCCTCAGTAGCAGGATCATGGACCGATGGGGCCGCGCGATCATTCTCTCTGGGCTCCTTGTAGTGTCGCATCATCTCCTGAGGGAGATAGACGTAGAACGAAGGGACGATGATCTCCACTGTCTTGATGAATCGCAATCCTGCATCCAGCTCGCAGATGGTTGCAGTGGTCTTCATCCCTGGCATCATCATTGCCAGAAGCGCATCGTCAAAGAAAAGCGTCATGACATCCTCTTCGATAGGCCAGGCAACACGAGGGGTCTCCCAGTCATCTTCGATAGTGGCTTGCTTGAACGTAGCTTTGCCAACAGGGACATGAGGAGTCTCGTTATCGCCGATGACAAGGGACTTGACTCGCTTGACGATGTCATCGCTTGGACGGAATATTTGAACCAGTTCGAGTGTGCAAGTGAACTCACGGGTAATGCTGGGTTTCTTGGTGGTCAAGTTTTCGAACAGCTGCGGCTCATCCATCAGAGCAAAGGCCGTGAAGAAGACTGAAGTAGGATCGAACCCTTCAGGTCGCCTGAAGTGCTGGAACGACCACGATTCTTCGGCAGTATCCTCGGGGCAAAAGAGCTCTGCGGCAGCTAGGTTGAAGTGGCCAGGCAACATAGCATAGAGCTGTCGAATCATGGGCCACTCTTCACTCGCAGTCTTACAGACCGCCAAAGCCGCCTTGACATCATCCTCGTATTCTGGGCAAGCATCGTGTTGAAGAACATATCGTAGGAAGTTCTCCACAGTGTTGATGCCCTCCATCATTCTCTTGGGGTCGAAGGACGTCAGATGCACAAGGGCTCCCGAGATGAAACCAGCAGCAACACCGGCAAAGTCAACCGACCAGGCCTTCTCATCGCCATTGTAGAACCTGTCGCCAGCTGCAGTGGTGCCCCAGATAACGTCTCTCGCAGTTGCCTCCCGGCGTTCAGCGGGAGTAAGTTCCTTCAGCTCTTGTTGGCTGAGACCACCGAATGCACCAGGGCTGCAGTCAATACCGCCGAGAAAAAGATAGTCGTCGAAGTAGAGAGTACGATCACCCTGGAGACGACGTCGCGAGCGGAAACGCTGAATGCAAGATTGCATGCGCCTGAATGTGTCAGCACTTGCACCTTAGTCTACGTGATGCTAGCCATACTCTTCAAAGGGGAGATCTCTAGGAAAAGGTCAGCACTTGTTTAGTTAAGACTGAGAATATGCTTGCAGTTGCTTACGGAGAATAGATTTCGTTCTTCTCTTCCTTAGCCTCGGTAGGGGTCATGGGCGGATCAGCAAAGTACTCTAAGCCTGCGTCAGCTTACGCTCTATCCAAGGCGCGAAGATAAGTTGAGTTTATGCATACCTTCAAAGCCGCTTCCTCGGTTCTTGGGTAGAGCGGTAGGGCCACGATGGGCTGTCGTCTTTTTCTTCTTCCCTTTCCCTACCTTTGCGACGCCTTGCAGGGACGCGGGCAGAACGGGCGGGGGACCAAGATCGTCATTCTCTTGGGGCTTGATGTTTTCTTTGTCGGCAGAGTGAGGCTTAGGTTCAGCGGGTGGAGTCGCCATCTCGGAGAGTGTGTGGCGAAGCGTTGAATCTGAGATGGTTGAAAGGAAGGAGATGCGTGAAGATGTGCTAGATTGATGAGCACCACTCTCTGTATGATTCACTGACGATGTGCAGAGAGAAGGTAGAACATTCTAGCAGAAAGAAAAAAGAGAATGGAAGATGAAGAGGAGTGTTAAAAAGAAGGAGCTTGTTGCTCGCGCAAAAGAATATCTGCGTGAAGTCTGAGTTGGCCACTGGCAACAGCTGGCACCCGCTGTTTGCTTCAACACACGGCCAATAACCCAACACTCTGACGGAAAACTGCTTCTAGGCTGCATCTTTCCAGGAAATCTCCAGATTGATTGTGAATCAAAGCAACTATCCGCAACTTCATTGGGGTTTCAACACAGTTCTTGTCAACGCAACAAGAGACACTCTGATACTGTTCAAGTCACAAAATATATCTAGAAGGGATGCCAGTTTCAACTAGACTCTATGATAAACATCTACCAGGCAATCTGGCGAGTTTGAGTCCTATGTTCTATTCTGCACCTAGCCTTACATCGCCCTAACACAAGATCACAAATTCGAACGCCGTGCTCTACAAACTGCACAAGCAAGCAGCTACGATGAAATCCCCACACGTCAGCAATCCTCTCACGACAAAGCCTTCCAGTGCGGACTCAACATTATTATCTCTACTGTCTGATCTGCACGTCTGGCCTGGGCTCATAGCAAGGCTGATTCCGATTCTCGCGATAGCTTCCCCTCGCTAGCGCAGCTTCAACCAAAAAAAGACGCTGGCGCACACGGGCCGGCCCATCCCGACCAAAGAAAAGGGTGCAAAGAGACTGGCGGGATTCCAATGCCGTGAGATAGAAAAGACACCGCTTGATTCGTGGGGGTATCAGAACAGGGCTGGCTGCTTGGGGTCAGTTGATCAAAGGTCACAGGCGGACTGGCGTTGCTGGGCTAAGCTGAGCGGGAAGCTGATAGGGTGTGATAACGCAGAGAGGGGACCTCAATTTGGATAGTTTGAGGTTGTACGGCTTTTGTGTTTGTACTTTCGTATCTGGCTCGGACTAGGCGATACGAATGTAAAAGCTCGAATCTAAACTTGGGTGTTTGGCACGTGGGTTTAAGATAGTATCTAAGCTATGGTGTAAAGTTATCTATCACTCATTTCAGGCGCCAGATAGAGAGCTAGGGAAAAATAATGCGTGCTTCGTTTTTCCCGCTTTGTATTTGTGTCGGTGTCTCAGACTTTGTAATTCCCAGAGGGTTGGTATGATTGCAGCTGGGTCATATTGGGAGATAAATGACGAATCTTTTGTCATTCTTAATCAGACTCCCTTGTGAGCATGAGAAGCACAGGACCCAGTCCAACATTGAGTCAGAATCGAATACCATCATATCTTACAGACTAAGATCGCCGTTACTGGCACCATGA